GGTGATAGTGAGGGGGGTTAGTGGGAGGGAGGGGGTATATTGGGAGGGGGTGATATTGAGGGAGTTACTGGGAGGGAGGGGGTAAACGAGAGCGGGAGGACGCCAGCTATCTTGTCATACTAGCTGGGTTGGATTGCCTCGCTTTCCTCCCGGGTAGGCCTCAGGTCCCAAGCCCCAGAATGTCTCTCCAGGACCCAGATTCACCCACTATCAGGTGCTCCAGCTACACCGGGACACTCCAGGACTCTGTACACTGGATTCCTAGGGTTTTCAAGAAGCCTTAGGTGGGTGTTTTCGCCTAAGTTAACTAGAATCCTCAGGAGCTCCAGTGACCTGCAGCCTGTCAGCATGGCCGCCCGCCCCTGCCCCCCGTGATTTACCTTTTTACATAACCTACATAGCCTACATCTTGCAGTGATTGCAGTGATGGCCTTATGTTTACACAATGGTGCAAACACAGGTAAAACAAACACTGGCACACAGGTACACATACACAGGTACATACTGACACACAAGTACACATACACAGACACACAGGTACACATACACATACACACATATACATATACACATACACATATACATATACACATACACACAGGTACACATACCGGTACACACACTAACACTGAACACACACATATATAAATGACAGTTTACATATTTTAGACACCTTTTGGGTGGCTCTTTCCTTACCTTTTGTGTACAAGAGTCTGGCTCCAATGATGTCTGAATGATAGGATCTCCTCCTCCTCGTGTGTACATCTCCCTCCTCCCTATACGGTGCCCTGTTAGCTAGGAGGAAGAGATCTGAACGTGACAGGGGCCCTGTCCAGTGCAATAATAAAGGGTCACAACCCCCTGAGTACCTCAAAACAACATTTTCTGCTTTTTGGCTGATGGGCCCGGCCCCAGGTGAAGCAGCCCACCAGGAAATTTGGTTGCTGGTGACATTTTAAGACTTTTCCACCAAAATTTGACTCCACGCCTTAACTCTGCAGCCACCATCTTTTGACCTGTGGAATCTTTCCATTTAACCTCATGTACGCAACCCCTAATGTTGCTCAGATCTAGTTAACCCCTTAAGGACGGAGCCAAATGTACAAGTTGTGATCCAAAAAAAAATGTAAACAAACCACAGAATTTGACTATATATCTGTTCAACAATAATTTACGTCTTTCATTTTACATACACCCATACTTATTATATATCATTTTGTTCAGCAGAATCAGAGCTTTCATTTCATATCAAACTTTATATATGGAACTAACTTTTATTGTGAAAAATAATCAAAATCTTTGGTAAATTTGGTTATTTTTCAAGTTCTGCATGTCATTTTTACTGTGAATGTCATAATGCTGTTCACTTTTACTGCAATAAAACACACAATTTTGTATTCACCAATGTCTCATGAGTAAAACCGTACCCCCCATGTACAGGTTTTATGGGTTTTTCAAATGTTACAGGGTCCAATATATGGCTTGTCCATTCATTTTATTTACACATAGAATTTTTTAAGATTGGTTTGCTGGACCTATGTTGCCTTTGAGACCGTATGGCAGCCCAGAGATGAAAATTACCCCCATCATGGCATACCATTTGAAAAAGTATACGACCCAGGGTATTCAAAATGGGGTATGTATAGTCTTTTATAATAGCAACTTAGTCACAAACAGTAGCCAAAGTTGGTGTTCATTTTTTTTTTTCATTTTTCACATAAAAACTGTACTTTCTTATACATTTCACTGCTCTGAAACACTCACATTTCTGGTCAGTGATGTCTCACGTGTGAAATGGTGCCTCCTATGTATATGTTTTATGGTGTTTTGGAAAGTTATAGGGTCTAATATATGTCTTATTTATGTTTTTACACATTGAAATTTGACAAAGTGATTTTCCACCCCTATGTCACTTTTGAGAGTGTATGGCAGCCTGGGTAATAACATTTCCACTATTATGGCATATCATTCTCAAAAGTAGGCAACCCAGAGAATTCTAATGACTCAATTTCCACAGGCATATTTCATATTCCTGATATGGGTGAGTGCAATAAAGCCTTAGTATTTCGTTTCAACATTGTCTCCTGAATATACCAGTATTCCTATGTACCAGTTTTTCAGTTTTTTGGGGGAAGTCACAGGGACAAATATATTAGATGCCCATTTCAAAGTTGGAAATTTGGCAAAGTGATTTTCTGGGCCTATATCACCTTTGAGAGCGTATGGTAGCCTGGGTAATAACATTTCCACTATTATGGCATTCCATTTGCAAAAGTAGGCAACCCAGAGAATTCTAAATGGTGTGTATTAATATGTTTGGGCTAACCACTTTACCAGAAATACAGGGCCCATATAGTGGTTATAGTTTTATTAATGCTTTTTCAAACACATTAACTCAATTTCCACAGGATATTTCATATTTCTGATATGCGTTACTGCAATAGAGCCTCGGTATTATGATTACACATTGTTTCACGAATATAACAGTACCTCCACGTACCATTATTTCAATTTGTTTCGGTAACTCACAGGGCCAAATATATTAGATGCCCTTTTCAGCTTGTAAGTTTGAAAATGTGTCACTTTTGACAATATGCCACTTTTGAGAAAGTATGGCAGCCCAGGAGATAAAATTAGACCCA